CACTGAACCACAACTCCAGGGCCTAAATTTTATTTTAGAGAGAGACAGCTTTCCCTTTATAATCAGAAGGAACTGATAAAAGGAATTGGAAAGGGAGATTGCAAAGGAAATTGTAGGGTGCCTCATACAGCGGTGACGGATGTCAGTCAAATTGCTGTAGGTGGGCTGGGGGTGGGATCTGTGACCACTGATGGATCTGCTATGTGAGAGTGTCAAATATTAGGTAATCAAGAGCAAGCAGATGTCTCCCGAGGAATGAGGTCTCTTTGAACAGCTTTCTTATGATCTGAATGGTTGGGCTGGTGAGATGGGTCTTGGAGTAAAGGCACTGACAAGCTGAGTTCGATCACCAGGACTTTCAAGGTGAAAGGAGAGAAGGGACAAAAATTGTTCTCTGACCCCCACGCCCACCCCAATCTATACACGTTAAATAAATAAATAAAAGATCTGACTGAGTAATGTCCCAAGCCCTTCCCCGGGAGTGTGGGCTGACTGCGGACGAAAGCAAACTGAGTAGTGAAATGACTTGCTGTGGTAATAGTAATGAGTCAGAAGGCAGAGCCATTGGAGTTTCCAGGCCGTTAACTTATCTCCTGAACCCGTGAGTCAGTGCCAGTCAGCCCAGGGGGTGTGGCCGCACTGCCCATCCCTGCTAGCCCAGCTGCTGTGCTACCGGTCTGCTGGAAAGCATGGAAGACCCACCCACAGGCCACCTCACCCGTGTATCCTGGGAAGGGTCGGGCATGCTCAGCTTATTCATCCACCTACAGGAGACTGTGACTGACCTCTTAAGTGGTGACGTTGGACAGGAAATGTCAGTTATGGACCAGGAAAGGGAAAAAAAAGTACCTGGGCCTCCTTTCCTGTGAGTGTTGCAATAGCACACCTGCAGCTTAGAGCCTGTGTTTTCTGAATCAGAAGAAGCAACTCCGTGTCTCTCAACTGTGGTCCATTAGATAACATTGTTGCAGCCAGAGATGAGGATACATGCCTGTATTCCACGCAATTGGGAGGCAGGAGCAGGGGGCAGATGTGGGATTCTCCTCTGTACGCTGTAAATACCATTGGTTAATAAAGAAACTGTCTTAGGCCTGCGCAGGGCAGAACATAGGTAGGCGGGGAAAACTAAACTGAATGCTGGGAGAAAGGAAACAGAGTCAAAGAGAAACCATGGAGCCCCATTAGAGACAGATGCTGGGACTTTACCCAGTAAACCACAGCCTCATGGCAATACACAGATTAATGGAGATGGGTTAAATTAAGATGTAAGAGTTTGCCAGAAATAGGCTTAAGCTATTGGACAAGCATTATTGCAAATAATACAGTTTCTGTGTGGTTATTTGGAGTCTGGGCAGCTGGGAACGAACAAACGCCCTCCTACTACACAGGAGGATTGCTGTGAGTTCAGACCCAGCCGGTTCTACATAGTGAATGTCAGGCTAGCCAAGGCTAAAAAGTTAGACCCCATCTCAAAACAAAACAACAACAAGCAGCAACAAAGAAAAGCCATTGTACTGTGTTTAGAGAGTAGACTGTCGCGCCACTGTTACAAGCTTGAAGAAGCTGAGGTTGAACACAGTGATAGGCTATGAGTTCGATCCTCAGCATTGGGAGAAAACAAAAAAGGACTGATACATAACTTATATAAAGTGACTTAGAAAATCATCACTTTCAAGGGCAAGAGGGGGCTGGCACTGTAGCTCAGTTGGTAGACTGTCTGCCATGCACAAGGCCCTGGGTTCAAGTCCCAGAACCAAATAAAACAGGCTTGGTGCCACATATCTGCAATTCTAGCACTTAAAAGAGGGAGGCTGGAGGAGTCCCTTCATCTTTTCAAGATTCTATTTCTTAGCTAGCTAGCAGTCCGATCTCTGTCCAAAATTTATTTTGTTATTGTTTAATATTTTATTCCTTTTATTTCAAAGATTTATCTTCATTATTTTTAATTATGTGTCAGTGTGTGTGTCTGCATGTGGGCACATGCATGCGAGTGCAGATGCCTGTCGGGGCTAGAGGTGTCTGATGCCTAGGAGTTAATGATGACCGTTAGCTGGGCATAATGGTGCATGCCTTTAATCCTAGCAGAGGCAGGGATGTATTTGTAAATTCGAAGGCAGTTTGGTCTACGTAGCAAGCTCCAGGCCATCCAGAGCTGTATAATGAGACAAAGTCTCAAAAACAAACAAGAAGAACTAACGGAGGAAGCTGCGAACCACCTAACACGGGTGCTGGGAACTGAATTCTAGGCATCTGGGAATATAGCAAGGAACCGTCTCTCCAGACTCTGAATTTGTAATTTTTTGCTTGGCTGAGAGGTTGAGACAGGGTTTCTCTGTGTAACAGCCCTGGCTGTCCTGGAACTAGCTCTTGGTAGACAATGCTGGCCTCGAACTCAGAGATCTGCCTGCCTCTGCCTCCCGAGTGCTGGGATTAACAGCGTGCGCCACTGCCCTGCTGTAATTTCTAATTTGCACTATACACAGCTCAGAAATATTAAATGAAAAACTGAAAAAATGACCAACTCCTAAGCTTTAAATAGAAGCTGATAATCCCAACACTTTAAAGATTGATGTTGGAGAGTCTGGAGTTCAAGGTCAGTTTGTACTACTTAGCAAGACTGTCTGGGTGGGGAGCGTTAAATAACTTTCATTATGGCCTATAGCTGTAATTGGTCAATTTTGTCATTAGTCATTAGTTTCTTTACTTACACTAATTAATAAATTAATCTTTATTATAGATATGGACATACATAGGACAAATCCCAGTATGTAGAGGATTCTGTAGGAGTTTGAGAATGAGAACCCTGGGGTAAGGGCCACACATGGGTTTCCTGTGTACACTTGGGAATTAAATGCTGAGGCCTTTACCAAAGGCAGCTAACTGAGGTCATAACAGTAGTATGTAGCCAGGAAATCAGTGTGCTGGAGAGAGGTTTTGTATAGAGAGGTCTTTCTTTCTTTTTTTTTACCTTCAGTTTTTTGAGATGTAACACAGTTTTTTCTCTGTGTAACAGCCTTAGCTGTCCTGGAACTCACTTTGTAGATCAGACTGGCCAAGAACTCACAGAGATCTGCTTGCTTCTGCTTCTGCTTCTGCCTCCAGAGTGCTGGGGTTAAAGGCGTGTGTTATCATGCTGGGCTAGAGGAGTGTTTCTTAATGTTTTTCCACCCATGAGTCTTTCACCTGAGAAATTTTAATTAATATCTCCCAATTATTTAAGTCTATACATATGTTATATAACATATAACATATAACATATATAACATATGCAACATACACTGACTCCAGAGCTTGGTCCTGTACCCACGCGCATACAGGAAACACTAATTGAACTCAGTGTGTTATAAAAGAAAAAGTTTTTAAAAGACATGAAGTTGGGAGGGACCTAAGTAGAAGGGGTCTATGATCAACATACATTGTACGGAGCTGAAGAGATGGCTCAGCGGTTAAGAGCACTGGCTGCTCTTGAAGAGAATGCAGGTTGGGTCCTCAGAACCCATATGGTGGGTCACAACCAACTGAAACTCCAGTTCCAGGGGATCAATGCCCTGTTCCTGTCTCCTCAGGCACAAGCATGATTCACACACATAGGCACAGGCAAAGCACTCAGACACACATAGACATATATATATATATATATTAAATAAATACGTATTTGGTTTTTGTAATAAAACATCTTTTTTTTCATAAGAGCAGAAAACGTGGCATGCACTGTAAAAACACCACCAGTCACAACATACGATAACCTTGAGTCTGAGCCATGGGTTTCGAGAGTTTTTCTCTAAGAGGCTTGCACAGTGCAGGGTGTTTGGGCTGTTCAGAACCAAGGCTCTAGCGAAGCCACAGGGTGCGACAGCTGTGAGCGAGGAGCGCGCAGTCAGAAACTGTTCAGATTCATCACATGGTGGAATCTGAGCTAATTTTGTTGTTGTTTGAGACTGTCCTAGCTGTCCTGGAACGCACTCTGTAGACCAGGCTGGCCTCTAACTCAGAGATTCCCTGCCTGCCTCTGCTTCCGAAGTTTAATCCCACTGGGAGAGAATAAGACCACCACCACAATTTTTGAGCCAAATTTAAAGCTAACTTTATTCAGTATTGACCAGGATGATGGGCACTGGCCAGGTCCATACCCTGGGTTCCCAGAGAATGGCCATGAATTACATTAGTCAGGTGCTTAGAAAGGCCTGACCCATAATGCTACGTTCTTACCTTTGCCCAATCAGGGGCAAGCATATATCCTGACATGCTTTCTGCCTACCTCCCTCCTGCTTGTGCGTGGTGATCAAGCACATTCTGTTCAGCTGGGGCAGCCAAGCATGTTTACAGCAGCAAAAACATGGGGCTTGTTGTCTTACATGAACAACAGTCCCCAGCGTTCCAGGAAGTTATCGGCCCTTAGGTAAGTGGGGCTTATATATTAAAGGTATTTTTGTTTTGTAGATCTCTTAAGCGCAGCAATTTAAACTTAAAACATATCTTTGGTCATTACATTGCTTTGCCCAAAGTCACATGTCACACAAACCAGGGTTTCCAGGCTTCCAGTCTTTCAGGTCCTGTCCCCTCGGCAGGGATGGTAGGACCTCTGTGAGTTCTAGGCCAGTCAGGACTACATAGTAAGACCCTGTCTCAAAACAAAACAAAAAAAAAAGGAAGGGAAGTAAGTGAAGACGAAAGACAAGTGAAGCAAACTGTGTTTGCTACTTATCAGATGCACCGCAAAAATGAAAGTTCAGAAAGTGTGGACAGTGCACAGGGATTGGATCCATCTTCTTAGCCCCGAGAACAAGAAATCAGTAATATGCTGGTTCCTGTCTTTTAAGACTTTCGGTCCAGGCGGTGATGATGAACACCATTAATCCCAGCACTCCGGAGGCAGAGGCAGGTGGATCTCTGTGAGTTTGAGGCCAGCCTGGTCTACAGAGCAAGTTCCAGGACATCTAGACTACGCAGAGAAACCCTGTCTCAAAAAGACTTCTGTTTTCTTGCTTTCTCTGTGGCAGGATCTCTTTAACTGAAGATGACCCGGGACTCCTGACGCTCCTGCCTTTACCTCTGAGACCACAGGTGAGATGTTTTGGTTCTTTGTTTTGTTTTGTTTTCTCCTTCTTTTACATGTATGGGGAGATGGGACTGGAACCAAACCCGGAGACTCTTGTATTCTACTTCTGAGCTACACCCCAGAACCCACCTTTTCATATTTACCTACTTTTTAAAGGGATGAATCAGAAAACACAAATGCTTTTACGTGCTGCTTTTTATATTTGCTTTCTCAGATGCCTTTTCCATTTCTGTTTAATGCTTTCTACAGATTTGCAGGCTTTCATGTTTATGTGTAGTTAGAGAAATAATCGTTTGTTCAGTTCTCTAAAGCTGAACATTTTGGTTGAGGTGCACAAGAGGGGGCGGGGGGGGGGGGGGGTAAAGGCGCTTGCACCGGGACCTGAATTCCATTCTGGAACAAACCCTGTGGAAGAGGAGAGCTGATTCCGACAAACTATCCTCTGACGGCAGAAACGGCCCATTATGCTCAGACTCTCGCCGTCCTATGTTCTAGGTTGGATTTGAAGTTGGGCTTTCATACTCTGGCTCCAGATTTTTCTGCAGGCTGCAAAGCTACCCTGTTCTGAGCCTCATCTTGAAAATGATATCCTCAGGGTACAGTTCCTTCCAGCTGAAAATGGCTAGGGTCGACAAGAAATTGCTACCCCCAGGATCCCCAGGCTGTGGGAGCCCTGCTTGTAGGGTTCCAGCCTTGTCTGGGCTGCAGGACTCTGGGCTGAGACTTGGAAAACTGCAGTCTGCCTCTGGTTGTCAAGAGGGTGAGGGTGGTGGGTTGCTCTCGTCCTGGCATCTGGCCTGGTGTCTGTAGAACCAGGCAAGAGCTGCCCACGAGGGCTGGCTGGGCGCCAGGGACTCGTAGTCTTTCTATTTAAACAGACACAGGCTGTCTGTTGAGATCCTGGAAACATCTGACCTTTTACAGAGCATCTCTAGAGCTCTCAAGTGTGGAGGGAGCCTCCTGCGTTCTGGAAATGATTTAACCCTTTTCAGTAAAACCCTAGCAAGGCTGAAAGAGAGGGGGGTGGGGAATCTGTTTCTTGGAGCTACACAGATCCCTTTGGCCTTTTCTGTTAACTGGCAAGCAAGGGCAGCAACCTTCAACCCAGGGACCTGCTAGGTAATTTTCTCAGATCCAATTCTTAGGGCAGGAGGCTCTGACAGAGCAGATAGGAGGCTCAAATAGAGCCCAGTGGTTGCAGGGAGCCTCCAGGGGAAGCAGAGGGAGGACAGGAGAGTCTGCCACACAAGGCAGCAGGGCGACCGCCCCCTCGGACCGAAGGCATGACATCCGATACTCCTTCACCCAGTAATGTTTGGTTGTTTTGCTGTTCTGTTTCAGCTCGAGACAGGCACTGATCTTGGTGCCCGGCCCAGGCTGACCTGGAAACCATTAACCTTTGCTGCGGTCTCCTGAGTCGCGTCTCGCAAATATTTACCGGGCACCTCCCATATTCCAAGCACTGTGTGTGATGCTGATGGTCAGCGTTGAGCAAACACAGGTAGATATGGCCTGGTGCCATACTGTAGTGCTGGTTGCCTGGAGAGTGGACCGGGGTAGAAGGGAGAATAACAGAAAGGACCGCTCAGGACTCCCAAGACCGAGTTCTCAGCACAAAGGAGATGGATTTGACTCAGAGGGGCTGGGAATAAGAGAAAAAGACAGGAGATAAAGGACAAGGGGAGAGGGGGAGGGGATAAGGAAAAGGGGAAGGGACATCGTGGGGGGCAAAGGACAGCCGCTGGATATAGAGGAAACCCCATATTAGGATGAGGTGTTTAATTTTAATTGGGCATATTTATTAGATGAGCCAAAGTCGGGCTTTTGATTTCTGGGCTTCAGTACTTTGATAGCTGGACCTTGGTGGTCAGCCTCAGGAGGAGGGCATGGCCAAATAAGGGAATAGACCTTGGTAGCAGCTTCGGGAATGCGATCTAACAGTTTTTAGCAAGGTGGAGGAAATAGAGAGAGGGGCAAGGCCTGCCAGAGCCCTGCCCATCATGCTTGAGCTGGCTAGAGTTCCTGCATCCCCACCTTTTTGTTTTTTTATTGGGTCGTTGAGTGTTGGGTAAGTGGGTGTGTTTTCTATGTCTGCTTCCTGGTGACCTGGGGGGGGGGGCGGGGGGGGTGGGGGGGGGGGCGGGGTGGTCATTGTTAGAGGACCCAAGGAAGCTGGGTTGTTGTTTAAGGCTGGAAAAAGCAGTCTGCGTCAGTCAATGTCCAGGTTCTGTGGGACCATCTGAGGCCAGGGAAGTGTGATCTGTGGGTCTGGACCAGGGCACAGACTCCAAGGATGCTGGAGTTGCTGGAGCCGTCTGTGGTTGATCTGAGTCTGTTGGAACAGATAAACCAGGACGGAAGGGAAGTTAAAGAGTTTAGAAAAAGGATGTCTATTTGAAACTTTTAGGTTCCTGGTCCTGGTGGTTAGGAAGAGGGAAGAAGGACAGGTCCCAGGGAAAGGGAAAGAGATCCCACCCTTAGGAATAGGCAATGGGCAGGAAAACATAGGCAGTTGGCTGCCAGGGGTGCTTGTCTAGCGTCTGTTTGAGAGTTCTCGAGAGAAGCTAGGACAGTTTAGATTGGCTATATAAGGTTATTTAGGGGAATGATTGTTATCTGAAGGCAGGGTCTGGTTGTTTTGGGGGGCATACAATTGGAGAGGCTTCTGTTACATCAGAATGGTCTCTCCTGGGGTGTTCAGGTGGGTTCTGAAATTGAAATATTTTAGGAACACAGATGACTGGGAAGGCTCTTAACAAACTGTGAGAGAGGATGCACCGTAACAAGGTTTTGGGGTTAGTGTGGAAAGGTTGAGAGAACTTGGCTTCAGCTCCCAAAGGGGGACTTGGATGACCAAGGGGACAAGTGGTCAGTAGTGGGGGTGGGACTCTGGCTGCTGGGGCTATCAGCAGTGAGAGGGACTGCGACTAACACACTGTGGAAGAGGGGCGCAGAGGAAATAGCGAGAGGTCCTGAAGGAGGTGTTCTGGACAGTTAATGCATCTAGGGGGGTCGGTGTGGAGGGTGTTTAGCAATCATGTGGATGGAGCGTGCGGGAACGGGACCCTGAGGGCGAGCATGAACACACAAAGGGGGGCTAGGAGAGCGGTGCAAACATCACAGCAAATGGTAGCACGCAGGGAACATGGCTCCCCTTTCACCCTTGTAGGTTACTTGACTGAACTCTAAATTGAATGACCCACAGGTTCAAAGAGGTGCAGGGAGTAACTGGGGAGGCCCTTGCTATCATGCCCAAGGACCCTGGGTTCAGTCCCCAGCGCTATACTCAGGCAAATAGGTGAGCGATGGGGGTGGAGTGTAGTTTACTGATAGAGTACTTACCTCTGAAGCACTGAGCCCTGGGTTGTAATTCCAGTGCTTCTTGGGGACAGTGGGGTGATGCTTTTTTTATTTATTACTTTTTGGTATATGGTCATCCTATGCAGCCTTAGCTGGCCTAGAATTCATTCTGAAGCCCAGTCACAGCCACAACAATTCTCCTGCCTCAGTCATCCATGCTCCAGGATTGCAGGTGTAAATCACTATGCATGACTTTAAAAGCATATTTAACTCGTAGCGTGTGCACAGAATTCCACAGAATGAACTGGTCAGAGGGTTGGGTTATTGAAGCTTTTATGGCGACCTGGGCTACATACAGGAAGGAGCAGGTTAGAGAGAGGAGAGAAGAGAGTACAAGGAGAATGAAGATTCTGGATGGAAGGAAAGCTTCTGCCCAGGTGATGTGTTTAAGAGATAAACCCAGACAGAACGTGGTGGCTCAGGCCTTTAATTCCAGTATTACAGAGGCAGAGACAGGTGGATCTCTGGGAGTTCAAGGCCCAGCCTGGGGTACAAGGTGAGTTCCAGGATAGCCAGGGCTTCACATACAAATCCTGTCTCGCCTCGACAAAAAGAAAAAAAAGATAAGGAAAAGAGAGAGATAAGCCCTCAGCAGAACAGGGTATGGACTGCCTGCGTGTCTGGGTGTGGTGTCCACTGGATCTTCCTGGTTGATAAGATGTCTGGGAGAGCTAGGTGTGGTAGTGTGTATACCCATAGTTGCCAACCCATGAGAGGTTGAGCCAGGAGGACCACACTGAGTTTGAGGTCAGCCTCAGCTGAATCACAAGACCTTGGCTCATAAAAACCAAAATCAATTTTTAAAAGGAAATAATCACTTCTTGGACTTTTGGCTATAATCTAATAGGAAAAGGAAATAAATAAAAACCCAGGGGTTGGGGGTAGCAGGGTGCTGCTCCTCCCTTAAGCAGTAGTTACAGCTTTGCTATATGCAGACAGAACTGCACAGCAACTAGATCTGAAACAAGTTCAAACACAGCCTTCAACTTCACCCCAAGCCTACAGTGTGTGCGTGTGTGTGCATGTGTGTGTTAACTGAACATTATCTTCTCAGCATTCAAGAAGCAGAAGCAGCCAGCAGTGGTGGCACACACCTTTAATCCCACTACTTGGGAGGCAGAGGCAAAAAGATCTCTGTGAGTTCAAGTCCATCCTGGTCTGCAGAATGAGTTTCAGGACAGCCAGGGCTACACGGAGAAACCCTGTCTTGAAAAAAAAAAAGAAGGAGGAGGAGGAGAAGGAGGAGAAGGAAGAGAAGAAGGAGAAGGAAGAGAAGGAGAAGAAGGAGAAAGAAGAGAAGAGGAGGAGAGGAGGAGGAGGAGAAGCGAAGGAAGGAGCAAATGAGACAGGAAGAGAGACAGAACAAACCCTGACATTAGACTGAAGGGAAGACAAGTTGATCACATATGTGGAAAAGTAGTGAGAAAAAAAAGCAAGTGTTCCACTCTTGTGCCAGTATCCTACTCTCTGGGTCGTGGAGAGAAGGGGTGTAGGCAGCTTAGGGAAGAACAGTCTTGGGGGAGTGAATGAATGGGCCAAACAGGTGACAGCTTGTGACAGCATCCAGTCTCCCCCAGTGATCAGAGTGCCGGTCAGTTTTTTGGTTGCAGTAACTAGAGCCTGAGAGAAACCATTCCGTGAGAGAAAAGGTTTCTTTTGGCTAATGTTTTATTGGATTTTGTCTTGTTGTTGTTTTGAGACAGGGTCTCACTATGTAGCTCTGACTATCCTGGAACTCACCATGTAGACCAGGCTGTCCTCAAACTCAGAGCCTCCTGCCTCTGCCTCCCAAGGGCTGGGATTAAAGAACTGTAATACTATGCCTGGCCGTTTTATTGGTTTTCCTAAGGCATAGTAGGATCAGATGGAGGTACTGTGGGAATTGCAGCCCCAAGTTACATTTCCCTGCCCCCATTTGAGGTGCTTATCTGCAAAGAAAACATAATAACTTCCCTCTGCTCCTGGAGTTGGGAAAGGAAGTTTGAGTGCACATGATCATTCCTTGATCCCTCCTGGGGTCAGGTACCAGTCCCTGCTTGGGTCAGGTGACAGTCCCTTCGCAGCCCCCTCCTCATTTGGTGCCGTGATATAAAAGCTAGCCCCAGCAGAACAATAAAGAAGCTGTTCCACCTCAACCTCGTGCTCTGTGGATTCATTCAACCTGGACACCCTCTGCCGAGACTCGTGGTTCCAGCCCGCGCGGGCGCGGCAAGGTACTCCTGTGTCCTGTATTATAAGGGCACATTTGTACTCCATGCTACAGAAAGGAATCGGTATTAATAGCCTAACAGTTACACACAGGTAATGATTTGTCTATTCTGAGTCAACTCCAGCCAGCCCAGATGTTCCTGGAGCTGATCTTGCAGATAGTAACTGTATCCAAAGTGCCTTACCTTGGCCCCACTTCAGAATATTGTCCAGTTAAGCATGTATATGTTTGAGTTTTTTTGAGACAGGGCTTCTCTGTGTAGCCTTGGCTGTCCTGGGACTCGCTCTGTAGACCAGGCTGGCCTCGAACTCACAGAGATCCACCTGCCTCTGCCTCCTGAATGCTGGGATTAAAGGCATGGACCACCACCACCTGGCTGCATGTATATGTTTAAATAAAATAAAAACACATGTACATGTAAAAATAAAGTATTTTGATATATCAGGAAGAAGAAGGGGAGGAGGAACCTGAACCTAGGTCCTCAGAGAATAAAGAGCAAGCACAAGAGCCACTAATGAGGGACACACAGGTAAGAGTAAACTCTGAAGCAATCGAGTCTCTTTGTTCCCTTTCCACCCACTAAACCCTGCTGGCTGGAGGTGAGACAGAGACAGAAGCAGGGAGGGGAAGCAGGGTGGGGAGGGTCGGGGATATGTTGTTATTGTTTGGTTGGCTTTTCAGGTATTAATTTGCTGTCTTTTTGTCTGCCAACTCTTGAATAAATCACAATTTAAGATTTGGGACCTGCCTCTGCTCTTTGAATTTTGGGGAGGCACTCTGCACAGGCTTAGCATTCTGTTTCGTATTTGTTTGTGTTTTGAGATGGGGTCTCACTATGCAGCTGGCTAGGCTATAACTCACTATATAGCCCAGGCTGGCACCAAACTAATAGGAATCTGCCTGTCTCTGCCTCTGGAGTGTTGGGATTAAAGGCTTATGCCACCATGTCCAACCTTCGTGGTTGGCTGGATCCATTTGCTTTGCCTTGCTTTGTTGTAATAACTGATTAGGTCAACTTATTAAAATGGCTGACTTAGGTTTCTGCAATAGTGACTTCAACCTCCAGGCCTGGCTCAGTGTTGATGGAAGTAATGTATAAACCAATCTTAGAAAGACTGCATAAGCCATTCAGTCACCCGTGGCCTTGAATCCCGTGTTTTGGAACCATTACCAGGTGTTTTTCCTCTGTGGTTCTTAGAGTCGTGGTAGCTTGTGACCTGGTCAGACAATCCCTTGCTTTGCACCTTGCTTTGCACACTCGACAGAGGCTTCACCTAGCCTCTGATGAAGGTGAACACCCACCTCTGGTTCCGCGGCTGCCTTCCCAGCATCTTTAGAAGCCACCGTGACCGGAAGACGCCTGTAGAGCAAGAGGTTCTGAGCGGTTCCTTTTTGGGAAGAAGCAAAGTGGTGTGAGTGAAGACAGTGACAAACGACGGAACAGAGCTAGTGCGTCTGCACCCACAACAAACAAAACAGAGTGGAGCTCGTCAGCACCCACAGTCGCACTTGAGCAGTCCTTTGCCCTTAGGTCTGTGGTAAGGCAGAAGCGGGAAGGAAAGCCCTTGACAGTCAGGAAACAGAGAAAGAGGGCTAAGACCAGAAATACCCCCCAAGAACACACAACCAGTGGCTATTTTTTCCAACTCGCCCCCCTCCCCGGGAGCTTCCGCCATCTGCTAATAATGCTAACAGATTATGAATCCATCTCTGGATCGATCCCTTGATGCAGGTGAAATCATTAGGATCTGATTATCTCTCAAAAATTAAAAAAAATTAATGCATCCGCTGAGGACCACATCTTCAACACAAGAGCCTGGGGGCAGAGAGATAATGACATTTGGCGGAAGGGACCTAGAAGGTACCCAGAACAAAGGGATTCTTCCTGAGAGGCCAATCTCAAGACAGATAAGGGAAGTTCAGAAAATGCCTCTCCCAGTGCTTTGAGAGAGAAACAGAAGACAGAGAGGGCAAGACTCCCCTTCGGTCCAAGGCACTTAGCAAGCTGCTGTGACATGCTTTGTGGCATCCCTCTTCACACTCATGTGCCTCTAGTCATTGTGTTTGCTGAGTTAGTGTTCATAAAAAGTTCTGGTTTGCAACGGGAGCAGATTTGGCAGTAGGACACATGCTAAGTGTGCACAAGGGTAGTCAGACTCTCTTTGGACCACGAATGCCCAAAAACTGACACAGACTTCTTATTAAGTATGAACGCTTGGCCTTAGTTTAGGTTTGTTTCTAAGCAGCTAAATAACTTAAATTGACCCGTTTATATTAATCCACATTCTGTCGCTTGTTTTACCTCTTCAGTTCTGTACGCCTTACTTTCTCTGCATCTCACTGGCGAATCCCGCCTCTTTTCTTCCCAGAGTTCCTATCTCTGCCCGGACGTCCTGCCTATCCTCTCCTGCCTAGCTACGGGCCCTTCAGCTCTTTATTAAACCAATCAGAAGGTGCCGTGGCAGAGACACATCTTCACAATGTACAAAAAGATTATCTCACAACACACAAGGCCCTGGGTTCCGTTCCCACCACACACACAAAGCACTAAATAGGGTGCTGTGTGCAGAGATTTCAAATCACCACATTTGGGTTTTTGTTTGTGTTTGTTGAGACCGTGTCTCATTATATAACCTTAGCTGGCCTGGAACTTGATCTATCGGCCTCTGCCCCCTGAGTGCTGGGCCATGTGCCACCATGCCTGGGCTATATTTGTTCTACAGCCCGCTACAGTTTATCCATATAGCCTAAGACAGCCTGCCTTTTCCCGATAGCCTTAATGCGAGCAGGAAGACCAGAAGAGGACTCCCCACCCCCACAGTGACTTTTATTGGGAATATAAGGTAAAGGGAGATCATGTGACACTTGGGTAGGGGGAGAAGATCGAAAAGAGCTCTGCGAGGTTGGAAAGATAGCTCAGTGGTTAAGAGCACTGGCCGCTCTTTCAGGGGACTCAGGTTCGATTTCCAGAACCTCACATCCATCTATGACCCTATTTTTACTGTATTCTGTGTTCTTTTCTAGTTCCCACAGGCATCAAGCATCACACATGGCACACAAACATGCAGGCTGAACACTCGTACACATAAAATACTAAAAAAGGAAGAACACAGGAAGAACACAGGTGCACAGGAAGTGTTGAGGAAGTGGCCAGAGACATGAAGAGGACAGCAAGCGCTGTCAAAGGCCTGGCAGAGGCTGGGGGCCTGCATCTGCAGCAGAAATGACTACAATTTACTTCCTTGTTTCAACAGGACTTGGAGGGCTTATAAGTATATACGTCATACACCAAAGATAGAGGATACAAACTAAACTGGGCGGTGGTGGCACACGCCTTTAGTCCCAGCACTCGGGAGGCAGGGGCAGGTGGATCTCTGTGAGTTCGAGGCCAGCCTGGTCTACAGAGCGAGTTCCAGGATAGGCTCCATAGCTACAGTCCTCTCCTGGGGCAGTCCTACCTGGGATTACGGGCATTTGCCACCACACCTGGCTTTTTGGGGGGTTTTGCTGTCGTTTTGAGACAAGGTTCTCATTCTGTGGCCCAAGAACTATGTCACTCAGGGGGCCTCAAATTTGTGGCAATCCTACTGCCTCTGCTTCTTGAATGCTGGGAGTATAAGTATGAGTCACCATACTTGGTGGATTTTCTTTCTTTCTTTTTTTTTTTTTAACTGAACTTTGATGAGATGCGAGGATCCTACCAAGGCCTCTTGAATGCTGAGCAAGCATTATGCTACTGTTGATCCCTGGCTTTTGTTGGATTAGTTTTGTTTTTCCCATGTGTAGAGCTTATTTCCTGTGAAATGGTATCTTACTCAATAACAGATGCTGCGGAGAAGTGGGTCTGGCCCCGGGCAGGCCTTAACCTGGCCCTGGTGCCAGGGTCACTGTTAGTCCCTGTGCTGACAGAATTTCCTGGTTCCTCTGGGCAAAATGAGTCAGGCTTACGCTGAGCTAGGACTGACCTCCACGATCATTCCCCTTAGTCTCTCTCGTGCGTATTCTCTAAAGAGGAGTTGGGATGTGTAGCAGGCCTTGCTGGACTGCCAGCCCCCAAACACAGAGACTTATTTTTAATTACGAATGCTCAGCCTTAGGTTAGGCTTGTTTATAGCTAGCTTTAAAAAAAAATAACCTAAGGGGCTGGAGAGATGGCTCAGTGGTTAAGAGTACTGACTGCTCTTCCAGAGGACCCGGGTTCAATTCCCAGCACCCACATGGCAGCTCACAACTGTCTGAAGATCCAGTTGCAAGGGGATCTGACACCTTCACACCAATGCACATAAGATAAAGTTAAATAAACCATAAAAATAAAAATTAAAAAATAAATAAATTAACCCATTTCTATTCATCTGTGTGCTGCTCCAAGGCTTGTTTACCTCGTCTATGTATTGTCCTTCCTGCTTTCCTGCTTTCTCCATGTCTGTCTGTCTGGCCCCCAGCTGACTGGCCCCTGACTCTAGCTGGCCCCCCTTTCTCTCTGTCCACCAGACCCTCCTATGCCTCCTCTGCCTAGCTATTGGTCATCCAGCTTCTTATTAAGCCAATCAGATGCCTTAGCAGGCAAGGTAAAACAGCAACACATCTTTACAAAGTTGAACAAAGGCAGCCCAAACAAAGGCAACACATCTTTACATAGTTAAATGCAGCATGGGGGCTGGAGAGATGGCTCAGTGGTTAAGAGCATTGCCTGCTCTTCCAAAGGTCCTGAGTTCAATTCCCAGCAACCACATGGTGGCTCACAACCATCTGTAATGAGATCTGGTGCCCTCTCTGGCCTGCAGGCACACATGTAGGCAGATATTGGATGCATAATAAATGAATAAATATTAAAAAAAAAAAATAAAAAGAAAAAAAAAAGAAAAAATAAAAATAAAAAAAAAATTAAATGCAGCATGAACAAATGTAACACATCTTTAATTATTTATTTAATTTAATTATTTAGTTAAAAATATTCTATTCCACAGCGGGGATGTACTCTGCCAGCTACTGCAGGAAGGCAGGCAGATGCGACAGTTAGCTACAGACTGGAAGACAAGCTGCCACCCCTGACAGTGGTAACAGAAGCAAGGACCCTGTCTCATGATGTGTTTACTAACTGGGGTGTCAGATGCTCCTGGGGTTGCTCCTGGGGTGAGCTGGAGAATGGCAGAGGGGGCATGGCAGTACCCACCTAGCTGTCAAGAGGATCACTCAGAGTTAAGAGCTGCCATCCTGCCACCTCGACCAGGCCTCCTAGAGCCAAAACATGCCTACAATGTGTAAATTGTTGTAAGGAGGCACTGGTGGCTACTGGGTTTTCTCGGGTCACAGTCTGCCTGTATGGTCTCATTCTCCAGCTTCAGTGTATGATAGACATTCTCTTAAGCCCCTTTGAAACAGGGAAGTAAACAAAAAAATAAACAACAGAAAACAAACAAAAAGGTAAAAATGTGCTGGTAGAAGCTACAGTCTAAAAGAATTGAACCAATGTCATTTTTTTGATTCTGCAATATCTTATATAATGTCATCATCGGAAGAATTTGTTGATGAGTTTTTAGGGTAAATTTGTTCTGTTTTTACAACCTCCTGGGAGTCTGTAATTATTTCAAAATAAAATAGTTAACAGAAGGGCT